TCAGACGTTTGATAGCTATAGCCTTAGAAAACGTATAAGACGTCTACATTATTTCCTGTATAACTCAGATGTTGGGCAACTGTTCTGCTGAAATTGTTTCTTCGTCAGTCGTAAGCTTTTAAGAATATGTTCAGAAATCTCAACGTGGTGTAATCCTTTGTACCTATATATATATATAAACTGATATAGGCATTTCGAAGAAACAAAAAATGTATTTGTCCAGTTTTGACTACAGCAATGAGCATATTCGATGCAGTGGAACCAATTTAGATGCAAGGTGGTTCTATGTAGGGCATTAATATAGGTGCAAAACTTGGGCACTGTGGTAGAATTTAATTCCATATTACATTTGTTTATTTCATTTATAACACAGTGAGTGATATAGTATTATTTACTTGATGACATTTTGAGCATATATTATTACTGCTCATAATCATATCATATGTAATCACACTATTTTCGACATTTGATTTTTACAGTTACGTCAGTCACCTCATATGAGTTGTTTTTATTGGTAGTAAAATTCTCCATATCTCTGGTATTGGTGTTGCATCATTTCTATTACATGTGTTGGATGCTGATTCGCTGAACAAAGATTCAGTAATCAATCTCTCTCTCTCTCTCTCTCCACCTAATTATCTTCGACTTAAGTACAGTGGCTTTATCCTACCCTATTGTGTGGCTGTACGTTAATGCATGTAATCCAATAGCCGGGTTTTTCTTCTAGATTATTGATCTTATTTAGGTCTGTCATTCTACATTTAGTTAAATTCGTATGTTCGGCTATTCTAACTGGTTCTATCGGATTTTTAAGCCGACAAAGCTTATTTCTGAGTGAGTTTGTAGGCTTTAATTCCACCCTAATTTAATTCCAGCTTTGTTGAGAATCCTACATAAGGTTTCTAATATACCTTCCTTGTAGGGTAACACAATGGAGGCTGTGAACTCCTTTCCACTTGTGTTGTCATTGTTATTCGTACTATTATATTATTATTTGTCCCTTGGGTTCCTAGTGGAACATAGGAACATGGCTTCAGTAACACGTCACCATTTCACTCTCTTCTCTCCAGTCTTCAAAACCTGCCTCCACCACTGCCCACAAGCTCTCATTTCTTCCTCACACCATCTCCCCCATGTCAACCTCGCCTCAGATCCCCAACTCGTTGTTTCCCCCTTTGGCTTCCACTCGAGGGTTTGACCTGGCCCCGCACCCGCCTGACCCGGGGCGTTGTGATCCCAATCCGTCCGATCACTGTATGCCCAATTCAATCCATCTCCTCTTTCCTCTTCTTCTTCTTCTTCTTCTTCTTCTTCTTCACATCTGTTGGGCGACGGGTTGTTGGTTGGTTCGTTGCCAGCCATAGTGAGTTCCTTGTTGCTTATTCTTTCTGACCATTTGATCTGATCTTCAGTATCGAGTGAGTGTAGGCGGTAGCTGTTGATGATGTATATCTGCAGTCTGTTGGAAATGCTTTTCGTGACGGGCCAAGTTTGTGAAGCATATAGAAACTCTGAGTTACTTGAATGAGTTAGTGTTGGAAATCTGGATCTTGTCCACGCTTAATGCTGAGTGCAGTGCAGTGCAGTGCAGTGCAGTAGATCTCCACACTGATTTATTTCAGGTTAATGCAGGAAGGCGTGTCTTGGTGCATTTCCGACCCTTTCTCTGACGTTGTCATCTGTGCCTGTGCCGCCAGTATTCTAAATGATGCTGCCTTGGATGAAAGAGACTACTTCCTTTAGGTTTTTCCTGTTGATAGTGATTGCAGCTTGTTGTTGTTGTTGCTGGTTGAGTATCTTCATCACCTCCGTCTTCTCTACTTCCACTTGAAGTCCTGTCTTCGCTGCCCTGCCTCGCCTCTTCTGTCAAATTGTTGAATTTTGCCTGTAGATCTTCGAGTTTGTGTGACATTAGACACAAGTCATCGGAGAAATCCAAATCTTCTCCTAGGATCTTTTCATCGGTCAAACAGCGTATGCCCATTCCGCTCCTTACGGTTCGCTGCATGATCCAGTCCACCACAATCAGCAATATCATTGGTGATAGTAGGCAGCCTTGTCTTACTCCTTCCTGTCTTCACTTCAAAGGCGTCACTAAGCTTTCCATTGTGAATCACGCGGCATGTAGCATCGTATAGCATATAGCTGTTGAATGAGGTTGATAAAGGTTTGTGGTATTCCGTAGTATTGAAGCAGCTGCCTGTCAAATTGCTTGTCGGTAGATGCTGTCGAAGCCCTTTTCAAAGTTGATAAAGTTGAGGTAGAGAGTTGCCATTCTGCCATTCTATGCTCTGTTCTATGATGATGCGAAGTGTAGCGTCACAATTTGATCCACACATGATTTGTTCTTCCTGAATCCAGCCAACCTGTTCTGGTCGTACCTTTGAATCCAACAAATCCTTCAGTATAGAGGAGGTCGTGCGAAGAGGAAATGAGAGGTTGTGGGTTGTCGTTGAGCCAGGTTGAAAGATTTCAGGTGACAGAGTGGAATGGAGACGTGCTATTGAAGCCCTATGTTCCATTAGGAACCCAAGGGACGAATAATAATAATAATAATAATAATAATAATAATAATAATAATAATAATAATAATAATAATATGATTTTGCTGGGTGATAATTGAATGTGAGGTGAATATCCGGACAGAGGTCGGATTAGAACCAGCGACCACCGGGTTGCCGGTGCTCTACCAACTGAGTTACTAGGTCCGACTGCTTACCAGAATTTATTTCATTTCCATCACAAAGGAATGAGAAGTCCTGATTAGGCAGCCAGTGTGAACACGATCAAGCGGTAGTAACACATCATGAACTCACATGGTAGTCCGGCGAATCCCCACCTTGTGATTGAAGTAAAGTGAAATTCTGGTCAGCAGTTGGACCTCGTAGCTCAGTTGGTAGAGTACCGGGCCGGCAACCCGATGGCCGCTGGTTCGAGTCCGGCCGCGATCTAGATTTTCATCTCACCTCCATCATCATCCTGTATAAATACTAGTCTATCAAACTACGGCTATCTCACATAGTCAAATGACAAAGATCTTATACAAATCAATTCAGTCAGATTAGACACACTTATATAATAATAATAATAATAATAATGGTAATAATAATAATAACACTGACGGTCATAATGAAAGTATTAACCAAAGCAGTCGTTACATCGATGACAGTGATGATAAGGATAATTTAATTAGAAGACGTAGAATGTCTGAAAAATGTGATGTATCGGGGCTATACATTTCGAACAATATGATCACACATTTACTTGTTAAGGCATTATATATGAAAACTGGAAGTGGGGGAAGGATACATTTGGCAGGCCAGAGTTTCTTGTTGCTTATTCTTATTATTCTGGCCATCTGAGCTGATCTTCAGTAACGAGCCAGTGTAGGCAGTTGTTGATGAATATCTGTAATTTGTTGGAAATACCTTTCGTAAGGCGCCAAGTCTCCGAGGCATACAGAAGCACTGGTTTGACGTTGGTGTTGAAAATCCGGATGTTGTTCCACATGCTGAGTGTAGTGTAGTAGATCTCTACACTGGTTTTAGGCTAATGAACACCTGTTTTGCTGTCTTTCCGATCGTGGCTGGCTTCGACGTCCTCGTCTGTGCCTGTGCCACGTGTAGTTGGAACAGTGCTGCCTGGATACATGAAAGAGGTTACTTCCTTTAAGTTTCTCCCGTTGATGGTGATTAGAGTGTTATGATTGGAGTCGCATTTATTCATATGAAAACTTAGAATGTGGGGTAGCGAACCGCAAATATTCCTTCATTGTAAATAAAAAATAAGTACGTGTTATTACTCTTCAACTATGTATATTTCTCCATATTTTCCAGATGCACAAGTTTTAAATCAGACAGTTTGTGATGTGGATCATTTATTCCTGATTTACTTACATCCAATTTCGAGATAAAATACCATTGAGGGCATCAATGTCAATGATCTTTTCAAAGACTATGATTCCAGAAGGATATAATTTTGGAATAGGAAAAGACAAGAAGTGGTTTCAGTGAAGAGAAATTTTTCTTTTCGATCAAGTCATTTACTACTAAGCTGTACATTAGTGAATATGTGTTACAGTGGATAGAATGTTCCAGAGTTGTTTCCGATCAGGGAGGGGGAGGGGGGCAAAATATATTGAATAATGAAAGGAAGTTAATTAATACAGATTTGTGTTTAGAGTAAGAAAAATAGACAGAGGATTATAAAATTAAATGGAATTACGTAATACAGGATGAATGTATGACAGATTAGGAAAGTGAACGAAGAGTTATGAAGACAGATACGGGTTAAACTTATGACGACAGAGTATGAGAATAAACAGGAGATCATGAAAATGGGATTGTGATTACGTAATACAGGTTCAATCTATGACATATTAGAAAAATCAATAAGGTTATACATGTGTAGTTACCTGATACAAAATGAATATGTGGCAGACAGAGCTTTTTGATGGCCATGGCAAAGATAAAGGTTATATGTACCTTGTTTGCTTGCATAACGCTGGTTTGAACTTCTGAATGGCTAATGCTTCATCTATAGACAGATGCCTTGATTTTACTCCCTTCGAGTAGTTTGATCGAATCCTGTAGAGAATTTTGAATGAGCTCCCGAAAGAAGCTACTAATGTGTCCTAAGTTCACTAGGTATTCTGTTATCGAATTGAAGAACCATTTAAGTTATCCTTTTGCAAGTCAGACTGAATAGTGTTCGTGGAATGTTAGTAAATTACTGATATCAAGACGATTGAGATTGTATACAACAACTAGTGATGGTATTCACCAGTTACTCTTCTAATTTGTCTTAGATTTCTGTTTATTTATTTTAAGTTTTTCATTATTTGTTTGTTTAGATGGAAGCCGATATTTATGAATCTTGAGAGAACTCATGGTTTACAACAGAATAAATTGAAGCATAAACAAGTTACTGGTAATAATAATAATAATAATAATTAGATTTATATAGTAAAACAAATCAACTAATCTATCTATGTTCAATAGATATTCAATCATTCAAATTAACTCAATCAAAACCACACTCCATATTAATACCAGAAATAGTAAATTATCTTCTAGTAATAAAACAATCAATTTAAACATTTATAGATTCCAAAAATGAAGAAAATGCATAATCCACCTAAATCTACATATACTGAACCATTGGAAATTTCTTTATTACTTATGACGAAAGAGAAAAATCATCAAGAAGTAAGATTTTATATTATCACAATTTTATAACATTGATTGACACTCTAGACCTTTATCTGACTAAACTTGACAGTTTTCTCAAGGTATTATTTGTCCCTTAGGTTTCTAATAGAAGATAGGGCTTGAGAAGTACGTCTCCAGTGCACTCTGTTCTCTGCAAACTTTTGAACCTGCCTCCACGACAGCTCAGAAGCTCCCATTTTCTCCTCACATGATCTCCTTCATGTCATCCTCATCTTGAACGCCCAACTCGTCGTTTCTCATCTGGGTTCCCAGTCAGTGTTCTCAATGTATGCCCAATCGATCTCCACTTCCTTCCAGTGCATATTTCTTGAGCGATAAGTTCTTGGTTGGTTTGTTGACAGGCCAGAGTTCCTTGTTGCCTATTCTTATTATTCTAGCCATCTAATCTTCAGTAATGATCTCAAGCTGTTGACTGACTGAGTTGTCAGACTAGATTTCATGCAATTACTTTCTTTCATGAATGTTTCCAAAGTGAGAAGAGTGAACAATATAAAGTGAATCGAATTCATTTCATGCATTCTAAATCTTACAATAAGCTAGCTATCAGTATTCAGTATATGCCATTTCATACATTTCAATGGGTAAAATCAACTTAGTTTTAGGTTAGTGAAGATATTTATTATGATTTAACTATGTAAGATAGCCGGAGTTTGGCAGACTAGTTTTTGTACTGGGTGATGATTGAAGGTGAGATGAAAATCTGGACTGCGACCGGATTCGAACCAGCGACTACTAAGTTACCGGTACGGTGCTCTACCAACTCACCTACGAGGTCCAACTGTTGACCAGCATTTTATTTCACTTCAATCACCAAGGGTCCGGATTTTCATCTCACATTCAACCATCACTCAGTACAAAGGTATTTATCACTTCAAGGATGTATACTTCACAGACTAACATTACCTAGACAACGACTGAAAACCCTGAAGCACTGGACGACTGGTTTGTCCTAGTTTGAAAGTCATCAGCGATAGGCACATATGACTACTGCAACGACTGAACTCAGAACCTTCAGGAGTTGTGGTGAAAGCAGGTTGTGAATGGCTACTGCTGGGGAGTAACCTCGCTTAGTTTACTAGTTCACTAGTTACTAGCCGGTCCTAAGCCCGGGTAAAGAGGGAAGGTTGGGCAAAGGACTAGCAACCCTACCCCTACTAGTCTGAAGACGGACCAATCAAAATATACTTTGTATTACTACTCCTATAGTTACGCGGACACATGGTGAAGCAGCCAATCAACAGCAGCATATGTTTTAAACAGCAAACTATATATATATATATATATATATATATATATATATATATATATATATATATATATATATATATATATATTAGATATCTCAAGTTGTTATTCATCGTAGACTGAAATCAGTTGGAGGAACAAAGGAAGCCTGGGAGCACTAGACAGCTGTTTCGTCCAACCAGTATGGGACTCCTGAGCAGTGCGCATCCATGACCCTGCCAGGGATCAAACCCGCGACATTTAGGTTCCGTGGCCAGCACGTTACCATTGAAGTTGGAAATATGGGGCATTGGCTCAGTGGTAATGTGCTGGCCACGGAGCCTGAGTGTCCCGGGTTCGATCCCTGGCAGGGTCATGGGTGCGCACTACTAAGGAGTCCCATACTGGTTGGCCGAAACAGCTGTCCAGTGCTCCCAGGTTTCCTTTATTCCTCCAACTGATTTCAGTCTACAATGAATAATAACTTGAAATATTTCCAAATCTCCACAACTCCCTCGAAAATATATTCAATATATTTTCATTTGATTTTGATCTTCGGTTTTTGGGGGTCGAATACCCACTTCTTCAGGTTCATGGTATCTTCTCCAGTAATTAGTAAGAGTAGGGGATCAAGTTGGTTGACATTCGATATTCATGCATTGTTAGCGGCCATACTACATAGGAGTTTTCAAATCATAACAAGTTTATACCCTGGTTTAATGATGTATCTTTTGACATATATGATCCTGTAAGTTTATTACTGTTTATTTCTTCGATATATTTTACTAATAGGTTAAGAAATTGAAGATTCAAAGTGATAGACTTAGGTCAAGATGTACAGAAGTCATTCATAATAATACAAATAGTATACAACAACAAAATGATCTTCATTCAGATGATAATTAACAACTGTATATTTACTACAGAAGGTAAAAATGATTCAGAAAGTAATAAAAATATAATGAAACAAAAGAATTATCTAATTGGATTAAATAAGACTGTTGTAATCAATACAAATATTGTTACTATTCTACATGAATGGAAAGTTTATTTGGATAGAGAGAAAGAGCAAAGAAATAAGTGAGATTAATTCATATTTCTGTTGAACACATTGAATAAGTTGAAAAATTGATTTAAACAAATTATTTCATTGAATATTATATGAATTATATAATTGAAAATAGTTGGTTAAGAGATTAAAAGCAAGATAATTACAATTAACAGTAATTATTCTAAAGATTAACATCCAATCTAAATGTGATCATATGACGTTACGATTCAAAACGTACATATTGGACTTCTTGAACTATTATGCAATCAACTAAGGAATGAAATGAATTATATGAGAAAACTGATTTCTAGATAGTGTACAGATCAATAATTCTATGCATATTATCGATTTAGATGAATATCTTTCAAGTTTATCCGTTTTTACATTTCAGTTAACTAATTTTATGAGATCATTGGCTTTTTATTATATTTAGTAAGATACCAGGGTTTGAAGCAGGTAGATACGCTTAACAAACTGTTTATTGTTGAATTGAGGTATTTATAGGAATTTAGGGATTGATTTCAAATTGTTATTCATCACAGACTGACATTAGTTGGAGGAACATTAGAATCTTGAGAGCACTGGATAGCTGTTTCATCATAGTATGGGATGCAGATCAAATTACAACGCTACGCATCATCAGACAACACAGTATAGAATGGAAGTCAACTCTCTACCTCAAGTTTATTGACTTTGAAAAGGCCTTCGACTGCGTCAACCAACAAGTCATTTGGCAGTTGCTTCAATACTACGGAGTGCCACTAGTCTTCATCAACCTCATTCAACAGCTATATGAAGTGCCAAGTGATCCGTAGTGGAGAGCTCAGTGATGCCTTTGAAGTGAAGACAGGAGTAAGACATGGTTGCCGCCTACTATCACCCATGATATTCCTGATTGTGGTGGACTGGATCACACAGCAAACTGTGAGGAGCTGTGAGAAGGGGGGCATCCGCTGTTTCACCGATGGGAAGAGTCTAGAAGATTTGGATTTCGCCGACGATGATTTGTGTCTAATGTCGCACAAACTCGAAGGTCTACAGGCGAAAACTAACAGGTTGACAGAAGAGGCAGCGAAGACGGGACTTCAATTGAACGTAGAGGAGACGGAGGTGATGAAGATACCCAGTCAACAACAGCATCAACAAGAGGAGGCACCAATCACCATTAACGGGAGAAACCTAAAGGAAGTAGTCTCTTTGACCTACACCTACCTGGGATGCAGCATCGTTTCAACTACAGGCGGCGGCGGCGCAGGCACAGACGAAGATGTCAAAACCAGTCAGGATCGGAAAGACAGCAAGACAGGCTTTCATTAATCTGAAATCAGTGTGGAGATCTACTGCACTCAGCATAAAGTGAGAACAAGATCCCGATTTTCAACACCAATGCTATATGGTTCATAAACTTGACGCGTTACGAAAAGTACTTCCAACAAACTACAAACATTGATCAACAGCTGCTGCCTATACTGGCTCGATACTGAAGATCAGGTGGCCAGAAAGAATAAACAACAAGGAACTCTGGCAACAAAGCAAACAAGAACCTATCATCCAACAAATATGCATTGGAAGGAAGTGGAGATGGATTGGGCATACACTGAGAAGGCCGATTGGGGACATCACGCACCAGACCAGGTGGTCGAGTGGAACCGAGATGGGAAGCGACGAGTTGGTTGTCCGAGGTGAGGGTGAGATGGAGGAGGTGGTGTGAGGAAGAAATGAAAGCTTGTGGGCAGTCGTGGAGCGAGGTTGAAAAGACTGGAGAGAACAGAGTGCACTGGAGCCGTACTACTACTACTACATTTCAATGGGTAAAATCAACTTAGTTTTAGGTTAGTGAAGATATTTATTATGATTTAACTATGTAAGATAGCCGTAGTTTGGCAGACTAGTTTTTGTACTGGGTGATGATTGAAGGTGAGATGAAAATCTGGACTGCGACCGGATTCGAACCAGCGACTACTAGGTTACCGGTATGGTGCTCTACCAACTCACCTACGAGGCCCAACTGTTGACCAGCATTTTATTTCACTTCAATCACCAAGGGTCCGGATTTTCATCTCACATTCAACCATCACTCAGTACAAAGGTATTTATCACTTCAAGGATGTATACTTCACAGACTAACATTACCTAGACAACGACTGAAAACCCTGAAGCACTGGACGACTGGTTTGTCCTAGTTTGAAAGTCATCAGCGATAGGCACATATGACTACTGCAACGACTGAACTCAGAACCTTCAGGAGTTGTGGTGAAAGCAGGTTGTGAATGGCTACTGCTGGGGAGTAACCTCGCTTAGTTTACTAGTTCACTAGTTACTAGCCGGTCCTAAGCCCGGGTAAAGAGGGAAGGTTGGGCATAGGACTAGCAACCCTACCCCATAAAACCAATCTAACCGTTAAAGAAACTTCAAAGCGGAAAGAATATATAAAATGTAAAATTAAACTTATTCCCCACTGGAATCGGAGAGACGAAATGACTCCGGTTGGTGAAAGCCTTCGGGAAGCCAATTGGCCTATGAGTCTCCTCTTCTCTTGGTGAAAGCAAAAGTAAGGATGGGGACATGGAATGTCCGTACAATGTCTGAAGCTATCTGGCAAGGCAGCCCAGATTGCAAAGGAGATCAGAAGGTGTAGCATTGAAGTGCTGGGAATCTGTGAAAGCAGATGGAATGGAAGTGGACTCTCCAAACTGTCAACTGGAGGGTCAATAATGCAGAATGTATTTGTAGCATTGCTTATGTTTGGTCAAGGATACTAGGTAAGACGGACAAGTCAATTGATGAAGTTGTGAATCTTAGCCGACTAAGATGGCTTGAACATGTACTGCGCATACCGATCCACAGCCTTCGTTGACATCCAGTGCTAGAGAAATCTGTAGTAAGTTGTTAGATGGTTCATGGTGGTCAAACCAAGACCTTGCACAAGTTGATGAAATCCTTTACTATTGATCTGAGTCGTTTGGGGGAGATGTTGATTGTCTGGTTGGGGTCTGGACTGATGAGAAGACCCTAGAAGATTGGGATTTTGTCGATGATTTATGTCTAATGTCGTACAAGCTCGAAAATCTACACTTGAAACTAACAAGTTGGCAGAACAGGCAGGGCAGGGTAGCGAAGGTGGGACTTCCTTCAAGTGAACGTAGAGAAGACAGAGGTGATGAAGATACCCAACCAACAACAACATCACAACAATAACAAACACCAATCACTATCAGCGGGAATATCTAAAGGAAGTTGTCTCTTTCACCTACCTAGACAGCATCGTATCAACTGTAGGCGGCGGCACAGGTACAGATGAGGATGTCAAAGCCAGGATCGGGAAGACAGCGAGACAGGACTTCTTTCATTAATCTGAAATCAGTGTGGAGATCTACTGCACTGCGTCACACTGCACTCCACCTAGCATAAAGCGTAAACAAGATGCGGATTTTCAGTACTAATGTCAGTTGATTCAGTGCTTCTATATGATGGTTGAGAGGCTTGGCGTATCATGAAAAGCATTTCCAAGAAACTGCAGACATACATGAACAGCTGTCACCTACGCTCGCTCACTTGATACTAAAGATCAGATCAGATGGCCAGAAAGAATAAGCAAGGAAGAACTCTGACTGGATGACAACGAACCAACCAGCCAAGAACCTGTCGACCAACAAATATGCAGAAGAAAGTGGAGATGAATTGGATAAGATATAGACTGAGAAGACCCTTTGGGGACATCACTCGCCAGTCCAGGCTAGGCCGTCGAGTGGAATGCAAATGGGAAAAGACGAGTTGGTTGTCCGAGAGTGACATGGAAGAGATGGTATGAAGAAGAAAGCTTCTGAACAGTCGTCGAGCAAGGTTGAAAAGACTGAAGAGAAGAGAATGAAATGGCGACGTGCAACTGAAGCCCTATGTTCCAGTAGGAACCCAAAGGATAAATAATAAATATAATAACCCATTGTTGTACTCTTGTATCAGTTTTATTCTATCCAACTGTTCTTTGTCTACTGTCTTTCAAGTCTGAGATGAGATCTTGGCTCTAGGCTTCCTACCTGATGGTACGTAGGCTTCAGCAAGGTGTTATCTACTTTTCAGAGAACTACTTATAATCTTAAAGGTGCACGCAGAGTATCATCGGTTTCTTCAGTTTGATTTGCAACACCAACTTTAATATGGGGGGACCAATCAATGTGTACACGTCGATCGTATCTTCTCCAGTCGGGGTCGGGAATCAACTAGAAATTGTTGGACATTGTTTGAATAACACTCGATATCTGTGCATCGTTAAAAGCCATGACCACAGCAATTTTCGAACCGGAATAGTGACGATGAGATTGGGATATTGAGTAGTGGACTCTTCAAAGTTCGACAGTTTCCTCGAGCAACTAGTGAGGATTATCGAGATACTTACCTAATTCAAAAATTTCTGGCACTGAGTCATCGCGTAGTATGCTCTTTTTAATAGATCCTTCAGTTGATGGTATCACTAACAGCTTCAGTGAATTTCACTGCTATCCTGATGCCAATGGGACTTTCGATAGTTGGTTCAGGCATTACGAAGACTACTTCAAACTGGATTTTGCTGGCTGAGATGATTCCTGGAAGGTACATCTACTTTGAAAGCTTGGTCTACCTTAAGTCGACCAATACTGGAACATGATTTCGTCACAAAACCCACGTGATCGCACTTTTGACGCCACATCCCGGACGCTGAATGAAGTGTTTGGAGAATATCAACGAGTGGGTGACCTGCAGCGTGATACGAGTTTAGCCCAATCCATATCCCAGGTTGGTTTTGAAGTACATACAAGTCGCCAGATATCTCATTCATCCGCATCATCCTTTGGTTATGTACCTCATAGCCTTATCTCACCTGCTCATCAGCCCAGTAACTCATGCGATGCCGACCAACTCCCGAAGAAGACACCCACATCACCTTTCTGGCATTTCGTCAAATCGTGTCCACTTAAACAACATCGATGCCAAGACTGTAGTGCTGTGAGCCGTAAGGACGGTTTTTGCTGCCAACACACACAACCACGTGAACATAGGTCATCCTGTATATACGGCCACGAACCTCATTCTCGATCAGTAGGTTATAGGCGTTTTTCATGCTCATGCACCTACCCGCTGAAAGAATATCGAGAAGACCACTGATCCTTCAGTAAACAAGGAGAAACTCCCTCTGCGTCGGTCAGGAAGACAATGTGACCCAGTCTCACCCAAAATAATATTCTTTCGAAGAGGGAGGTGATATGGGGATGAAGAGAAATAACTAGTCTGAAGAGGGACCAATCAAAATATACTTTATATTACTACTTCTATAGTTACGCGGACAGATGGTGAAGCAGCCAATCAACAGCAGCATATGTTTTAAACAGCAAACTATATATATATATATATATATATATATATATATATATATATATATATATATATATATATATATATATATATATATTAGATATCTCAAGTTGTTATTCATCGTAGACTGACATCAGTTGGAGGAACAAAGGAAGCCTGGGAGCACTAGACAGCTGTTTCGTCCAACCAGTATGGGACTCCTGAGCAGTGCGCATCCATGACCCTGCCAGGGATCAAACCCGCGACATTTAGGTTCCGTGGCCAGCACGTTACCATTGAAGTTGGAAATATGGGGCATTGGCTCAGTGGTAATGTGCTGGCCACGGAGCCTGAGTGTCCCGGGTTCGATCCCTGGCAGGGTCATGGGTGCGCACTACTAAGGAGTCCCATACTGGTTGGCCGAAACAGCTGTCCAGTGCTCCCAGGTTTCCTTTATTCCTCCAACTGATTTCAGTCTACAATGAATAACAACTTGAAATATTTCCAAATCTCCACAACTCCCTCGAAAATATATTCAATATATTTTCATTTGATTTTGATCTTCGGTTTTTGGGGGTCGAATACCCACTTCTTCAGGTTCATGGTATCTTCTCCAGTAATTAGTAAGAGTAGGGGATCAAGTTGGTTGACATTCGATATTCATGCATTGTTAGCGGCCATACTACATAGGAGTTTTCAAATCATAACAAGTTTATACCCTGGTTTAATGATGTATCTTTTGACATATATGATCCTGTAAGTTTATTACTGTTTATTTCTTCGATATATTTTACTAATAGGTTAAGAAATTGAAGATTCAAAGTGATAGACTTAGGTCAAGATGTACAGAAGTCATTCATAATAATACAAATAGTATACAACAACAAAATGATCTTCATTCAGATGATAATTAACAACTGTACATTTACTACAGAAGGTAAAAATGATTCAGAAAGTAATAAAAATATAATGAAACAAAAGAATTATCTAATTGGATTAAATAAGACTGTTGTAATCAATACAAATATTGTTACTATTCTACATGAATGGAAAGTTTATTTGGATAGAGAGAAAGAGCAAAGAAATAAGTGAGATTAATTCATATTTCTGTTGAACACATTGAATAAGTTGAAAAATTGATTTAAACAAATTATTTCATTGAATATTATATGAATTATATAATTGAAAATAGTTGGTTAAGAGATTAAAAGCAAGATAATTACAATTAACAGTAATTATTCTAAAGATTAACATCCAATCTAAATGTGATCATATGACGTTACGATTCAAAACGTAATTATTGGACTTCTTGAACTATTATGCAATCAACTAAGGAATGAAATGAATTATATGAGAAAACTGATTTCTAGATAGTGTACAGATCAATAATTCTATGCATATTATCGATTTAGATGAATATCTTTCAAGTTTATCCGTTTTTACATTTCAGTTAACTAATTTTATGAGATCATTGGCTTTTTATTATATTTAGTAAGATACCAGGGTTTGAAGCAGGTAGATACGCTTAACAAACTGTTTATTGTTGAATTAAGGTATTTATAGGAATTTAGGGATTGATTTCAAATTGTTATTCATCACAGACTGACATTAGTTGGAGGAACATTAGAATCTTGAGAGCACTGGATAGCTGTTTCATCATAGTATGGGATGCAGATCAAATTACAACGCTACGCATCATCAGACAACACAGTATAGAATGGAAGTCAACTCTCTACCTCAAGTTTATTGACTTTGAAAAGGCCTTCGACTGCGTCAACCAACAAGTCATTTGGCAGTTGCTTCAATACTACGGAGTGCCACTAGTCTTCATCAACCTCATTCAACAGCTATATGAAGTGCCAAGTGATCCGTAGTGGAGAGCTCAGTGATGCCTTTGAAGTGAAGACAGGAGTAAGACATGGTTGCCGCCTACTATCACCCATGATATTCCTGATTGTGGTGGACTGGATCACGCAGCAAACTGTGAGGAGCTGTGAGAAGGGGGGCATCCGCTGTTTCACCGATGGGAAGAGTCTAGAAGATTTGGATTTCGCCGACGATGATTTGTGTCTAATGTCGCACAAACTCGAAGGTCTACAGGCGAAAACTAACAGGTTGACAGAAGAGGCAGCGAAGACGGGACTTCAATTGAACGTAGAGGAGACGGAGGTGATGAAGATACCCAGCCAACAACAGCATCAACAAGAGGAGGCACCAATCACCATTAACGGGAGAAACCTAAAGGAAGTAGTCTCTTTGACCTACACCTACCTGGGATGCAGCATCGTTTCAACTACAGGCGGCGGCGGCGCAGGCACAGACGAAGATGTCAAAACCAGTCAGGATCGGAAAGACAGCAAGACAGGCTTTCATTAATCTGAAATCAGTGTGGAGATCTACTGCACTCAGCATAAAGTGAGAACAAGATCCCGATTTTCAACACCAATGCTATATGGTTCATAACTTGACGCGTTACGAAAAGTACTTCCAACAAACTACAAACATTGATCAACAGCTGCCGCCTATGCTGGCTCGATACTGAAGATCAGGTGGCCAGAAAGAATAAACAACAAGGAACTCTGGCAACAAACCAAACAAGAACCTATCATCCAACAAATATGCATTGGAAGGAAGTGGAGATGGATTGGGCATACACTGAGAAGGCCGATTGGGGACATCACGCACCAGACCAGGTGGTCGAGTGGAACCGAGATGGAAAACGACGAGTTGGTTGTCCGAGGTGAGGGTGAGATGGAGGAGGTGGTGTGAGGAAGAAATGAAAGCTTGTGGGCAGTCGTGGAGCGAGGTTGAAAAGACTGGAGAGAACAGAGTGCACTGGAGCCGTACTACTGAAGCCCTATGTTCCATTAGGAACCCAAGAGAAAAATAATAATAATAATAATAATAGTAATGGGACTCCTCATCACTGTGCACGCATGATCCTAAACAACTTTAGGAAAAACTCAGTTTTATTAGAGACCTGAAGTATGTAGTTGTACAGCTTATGAGCTACAAACTTATTATTTACGACCTCATAATTTATTCGCATCTCAGACGCCTTAGACTAACGCAATTAGTGTATATAATTTGTGGTTAAATGTATAGACTGTAGATTTTGTCACTTGTTTGTAAAAAGAGACTGGCTGTCAATATAAATAAAGTTAATACAGGGTGGTGATTGGAAGTGAAATGAAAATTTGAACCATAACCAGATTCGAACCAGCGACCACTGGGTTTCTGGCCTGATGCTCTATTAACTGGACTACGAGGTCCAACTGCTGACCACATTTTTATTTCACTCCAATCATTATGGGCTTTTCCCGACTACCATATGAATTCATGATGTGTCATATTCATCTTCATTGTCTAGTCAGGACTTCTCATCCCTATCTACATCTAACTGAATAAGAGGGAAGGAGCATCGTATTGATTATCTTTTTGACTATGTGAGGTAGCAACCGTGGCGTAGCAGACTTGTATTGATACTGGGTGATGATTGAAGGGGAAGTGAAACCAAACGATTACTGGTTCGAATCCGGCCGTGGTCCAGATTTCCATTTCACCTTCACTCATCATCCAGCATCAATACTGATCTACCAAATCACGGCTGCTATATCAGATAGTTAAAATGAAAATAAAGTTGAAGAAAAGACGAGTTTCCTAGAGTTATTGTTTACTAGTTCTGTGAAACCGATAAGTTGAGAAGCTAATGAGCAGAATTTATGTCTTGCTTGGTCTGAAAATGCTAATAAGCCATACAGAGATGAAACTCAAATGAAGGTCTGTAATCCAGTAACTTTGATGGAAATTTTTCGTATTTTCAGTAAATTTTACATTTAAGTTGTTATGGCTTCAAAATTTTATGGAAAATGTTATGGGTCAATTCACCGGATGGAATGTTTTTTCAATTTGGAACTAAGTTTGTAATCGGTGATTTTATACATGTCGGGTCATAAAAGTTGCAATGGAACAAACAGACAGAATGTTCACAACCTTATTAGTCGACTTGTTTGTCTTGCCTAGTACCCTTTGCCTGACTTCAACATCACTCACACGATGTTTCCATCAAACGTGCGCAATCGAATGATCAAAACCCTGTAATCGTTTCATGTGTTCTTTTTTCAACGTTTATATCTCACAGGACAGAACCGACTGCAGCGCAGTATACTCATCCTGACATAGATACTCGGCTTCCTAGCTAGTCGAAACTACAGATGGTGAAAGTCTGTAAATGTAGAACGGGCCTTCTGTATCCGAGTTAAGTTTTCGTCAGCAACTAACCCATTTAAGCTATTGCAACTCCCTAAGCAAGTGAATTGGTCGACACATTCCACCACTTCACTCCCTATCATTAATCTGTGAGTATTTGCAGACGAATAGTCCAGGAGTATCATCTTACACTTGACAGGTGCCAGTGAAATGCATGCTAGCCAAACATACTCAGATTCCTGCTGAATATGTCTAGAAAACTTTCATTTCGTCAGTACTTTCATCTAGCAGAAGAAGATCATCTTCACACTTCGAATCAACCAGATGAATTCAATGATGTAGATCAGTATCTATGAAGTCAGACGTACGTCTGTTACAGTAGACACTGCTGACGGACAGCATTAGTTGTCATCAGTTGACATGATAACGTTTCATAAATCCTGACATGGCTGTATGGTTTTTGAAGGAGAGGTTTGATTTAGGTTAGATTCTTGCTTACTACTGCCTTCATAGTCAGGCACTGCCACAACATCCCACCATCGACAGAGTCAAATGCTGCCTTGAGGTCAACAAATGTGGCAAGTTTTGGTCGTCGGTAAAGTACGTCTGTGTTTCAAAACCTTTGGGAGAGTGAAATTATCATCGATACACTCTCAACCAAGTCTAAAACCTGCCTGTTTTTTCAAGGTCATGTGAACTCACCAATGCTAAAATTCGTAATCAAGGTCACTTTTAATACTTTATGTTACACTTTCTGTAGACTCTATGAACTAGAATCAGGAGCATTTACAGATGTAGCTTATCAAGCATGGAAAACAGAAGAAGAGGCTAAAATCAAATTGAATCAATTAAAACAAATGGAACATAATCGTCTGAATACAATGATAAGTCATGAAGAAGCTTCATCAATTGCTAAATATAATCTTTATTGTAAACGACGTAGTAATGTTAATCAACTGAAAAGTGAAAAAAATCAAAAGTTAATGGAATTAATGAATAAAAAGAAGCAACAACAGGCTACAATCAATGAATTAGCTAAAGAGATTTCTACTTCACATAGAAATGCTAAAATTGCCAAAAAGAAAGTGATAAAAGAAAAACATAAATTAGGTTTGTTTCTAGACGTTTTTCTTCTCTTTTCCTTTCAATTATGTTCATACAACCTGATGAAGTATAATACATGTTAGTTTATAAGATGTTATGGAGGTGTAAGTCATATAATATTGAGGAAAGTTTTTCATAACTATAGCATAAATGATAAATTGAACTTGAATACGAATTTCATTGCTTGTGTCTAACAGAAGAATCCAGCACGCGCATTTTGTCCCTTTTTGTTGTAAGGCCTCAGTTTTGTATAAAACATTATTATTGATCTGAACATTTTAACGTGTCATTCACACACCATTTCTTTTACCACATGACTAATAGTCCATTTCCCACCCCCATCCTGATGTAAATCGCTGATTGGTTAATCTTTACTCTTATCATGCAGATGTCTCAAATTGAGGACAAGGTCATTTTCATGTGTGTACATAGTCACGTGTTACAGGATTCGTTATTATATTATATTCTCAAAGTAATACACTCTCCCATCTGCCAGCTTCGTTCTTCTCTGTATTATCGTCCCAGGGTTGTGGTCAGTGTCTCTTGCATACTGTGTTAGCTGTCAGCTAAGCGTGCGTATTATATTCGTTCCTCAATATATATATAACTATTAGCGTACGAAAATATAACAGCCCTCGACTGTAGCTCACTGGTAACGTGCTCGTCATAAAACCTGAATGTATCTGGTTCAATCCCTGGTAGGGTTATGAGTGTGCACCACTTCGGAGTCCCATACCAGAATGAAGCAGCTGTCCAGTACTCTCAAACTGTCAATAGTTCGAAAGAAGCATTCTTTTTGATAAAGATTACCTCGTTAAAAAGTTTACATGTTTATATTTTTGTCTATGGACAGCCCTAGGAGTCTTTCATCGCTGAGGACTGTCCTGAGGAAATGAAAAATATCGTAAAGCCAGTAGATTTCTTTTGAAAATTGTCAGCGACCAGTTATAAACGTTTTTCAGTTGCCTGACAAATATAAGTTGTCTACAGACTTGTCTTTTTTTTAATGTTCCATAAAGGGAAATAATCGACCCTTTTTCCAACTCCACAGTGAATTAGATAACTGCACATCAGCTATTGAATACACAGACAGAGGGAGATAAATCGATAAGTGGTAGCTTCAGCAACTGTAGTCACATTCAACACTAGAAAGATAAAATTCCACATGAGTAACTCAGAAGTCAGGTGTAGAGTTTTAGGGAGGGAGAAGAGGTAAGTCAGTTGACGAGGTTGTGAACCTTCATCGACTGAAATGGTTGGGACATGTGTTACATATGCCTAGTCACCAATTGCCTCATCACACAATGTTGGCCGAAATAGGTGGATGCTGGAAAAGGGCTGGAGGTGACCAGACTAAAACATGTCACCAGTGTATGAAGTGTTTGACTTTTGGTTTGAGCGATGTTGGTCGATGCAGACTAGATGGTTGGTGTCCGTGGGGGGACAAGCGGAACGAGTGGTTGGAGACTCTATGTGATATGGCTGACAACCATTGTCAGTGTCGTAGATGTATACACACACTAGCCTCATCTCAACGACGTTACGTGGTAATGCCTGGTCCAATGTTGATAGATGGTGATGATGATGATGCATCCTAGGTCGCTATCGTGCCTAACTTGCCTAGTGAATGTCGTTTTGGCATTTGAATCGATTCGTTTGAGGTTCAAGTCTCAGTGATAACAATATCACTCCACACTGGAGTGGAGGTGCAATGAACTGATGAGTCCCGAAACAGGGCGAAATGCGCTTCTCGGATTCCTTTGCTAGCCACAATCCAGTAAATCACCATAATAAACACATAACTGTAGCGTATCAGTTTTAAGATCTGTTGATTACTGTAAAATCAGGAATCGTTTAATTTTATCTTTCTAGTGTTGAATATGACTACAGTTGCTGAAGCTACCACTTATCGATTTATCTCCCTCTGTCTGTGTATTCAATAGCTGATGTGCAGTTATCTAATTCACTGTGGAGTTGGAAAAAGGGTCGATTATTTCCCTTTATGGAACATTAAAAAAAAGACAAGTCTGTAGACAACTTATATTTGTCAGGCAACTGAAAAACGTTTATAACTGGTCGCTGACAATTTTCAAAAGAAATCTACTGGCTTTACGATATTTTTCATTTCCTCAGGACAGTCCTCAGCGATGAAAGACTCCTAGGGCTGTCCATAGACAAAAATATAAACATGTAAACTTTTTAACGAGGTAATCTTTATCAAAAAGAATGCTTCTTTCGAACTATTGACAGTTTGAGAGTACTGGACAGCTGCTTCATTCTGGTATGGGACTCCGAAGTGGTGCACACTCATAACCCTACCAGGGATTGAACCAGATACATTCAGGTTTTATGACGAGCACGTTACCAGTGAGCTACAGTCGAGGGCTGTTATATTTTCGTACGCTAATAGTTACATGTATATTGAGGAACGAATATAATACGCACGCTTAGCTGACAGCTAACACAGTATGCAAGAGACACTGACCACAACCCTGAGACGATAATACAGAGAAGAACGAAGCTGGCAGATGGGAGAGTGTATTACTTTGAGAATATAATATAATAACCAATCCTGTAACACGTGACTATGTACACATATGAAAATGACCTTGTCCTCAATTTGAGACATCTGCATGATAAGAGTAAAGATTAACCAATCAGCGATTTACATCAGGATGGGGGTGGGAAATGGACTATTAGTCATGTGGTAAAAGAAATGGTGTGTGAATGACACGTTAAAATGTTCAGATCAATAATAATGTTTTATACAAAAATTGGGGCATCACAACAAAGGCTCATTTGTGACTTACTTGGAGATGAAATTTTCTCGAAGCGGTTATGAAATGTCGTGATGTCGAATGTCAGGGTAAATACTCGACGATTGTATTCATTACATATAGGTCGTACTAATTTATGAATGAATTTCGTAGTTTGTCAATAACGTATTCGACAAGATGCCTGAAAGTCCTAAGTTGCAATCTCTTTTGCAGTCATACAACTTCTGAATGTACTTTTTTATTTTCAGTTAGTGAAATTGTTAAAGAAAAGAAACTGTTACATGATGAAGCTTATAAGAAATTTGAAGAAGAGAAGAAATTGAAGAAAGAGTTAATTAAAAATATCCAAGCTGAAGAATCATCTGCGATTATGACGAAATCATTGACTACTAAACAGGTTAGCTTGTCAATATACAAGAAATGTATCTCATTAATTTTGATCTTTACCTGTAATGTAATCTAAAGCGTAAATGAATTTGTTTGCCTGTTTATTACATTATAGTATGATCTAATATCAGTCTGCAACTCCCTCCTGAAATACTAGACGAGAGTAAATGAAGTCGGGTTTTGATAAAGAGTATCACTTTTCGTGCATATAAGAGGTAGAGTTATGCTTCGTTGGCTTAGGGGAGTTGAGTTTGAACCAAGGGATCTCGCGTTTGCCTGACTAGGTAGTGTCATTAATCCTCATATATAATAGGTGTGGTTAATCACCTATTATGCATATGACATAATCATGTTAGGTGAAGATGCTGACAAGATGCAGAGTCTTCTGAACACTTTGAGTGTCAGTTTGAGAATGTTTGGGATGCGGTTCTCATCACCCGAATGCAAATTTTTGCTCCAGGACTGGTCTTCAGCGGTAACACGGCTAACAATAGAGAGTGAAGTGGTTGAGTGTGTTGACCACTTCACTTACCTTGGAAGTAGGATCAGCCATGGTGGAACAGTTGCCGATGAAATCTCTGCACGAATACAAAAGGCTCGATTGGCTTTTGCCAATTTAAGCCACATATGGTGCAGCCGTGATATCCGTTTGTCTATTAAGGGTCGCGTGTACTGCACAGCAGTCCTGTCTGTTCTACTGTATGGCTGTGAAACATGACCATTGAAAGTGGAAGATATGAGAAGGCTTCAGGTATTTGACCATCGTTGTCTTCGCGGTATAGGCTGTATTCTGTGGTGTCACCACGTGAGTAATGCAGAAGTCAGGTGTAGAGTTTTAGGGAGGGAGAAGAGGTAAGTCAGTTGACGAGGTTGTGAACCTTCATCGACTGAAATGGTTGGGACATGTGTTACATATGCCTAGTCACCAATTGCCTCATCACACAATGTTGGCCGAAATAGGTGGATGCTGGAAAAGGGCTGGAGGTGACCAGACTAAATCTTGGCGCCAATGTATGAAGTGTTTGACTGTTGGTTTGAGCGATGTTGGTCGATGCAGACTAGGTGGTTGGTGTCCGTGGGGGGGACAAGTGGAACGAGTGGTTGGAGACTCTATGTGATATGGCTGAGAACCGATGTCAGTGGTGCAGATGTATACACAGACACACATTATCTTCATCTTAAAGACACCATATAGAATCTCACCACTTTCTCATTCTTCCTTTCTCTCTCTCTCTCTTTGAATACTTTATATTTCTTTTGACTGCATTCTCTTATCTTCATCCTTCACCTCACTGCCTTTTTACTTGATGTAGTGATATGAGGTGTGGCAACTGGGAGCGTTACGTGGTAATGCCTGGTCCGATGTTGATATTGATGATGATGATGAATCGCCTATTGCACAAATATGCACAAGGTTCCTGAGTGGATTTCCATTTGATTTACACAAATGGATTTTATTCACAAGTGTGATAGTATTCCTGTGATGAATCTTTGACCTACACTACATTACTGAAATGTAACTATGTGAAGTATGGTGTAAGTGACAATACAGCATGTAGAGAATCAACTGAAGGCAAGAAATATCAGAAAGCTGTAAACTGTGTTATTCCTTTTTTAATAGGCAAATATACATCAGTTCCTTGGTGACGAGTGACAATAAATACGAAACCTAGAGAAAGCAAGACTTCCAGTTGATTACCTCCAATCAACTAATATCCATCCAAGTATACCGTGATAGTGGCTCTTCTTGCCTTGGTGGTCATATTGAAAATATGATATATGGAATTCAGTCAGTACTCAGAACTAGACAGTATGATAGCTCTCTAGTGCTCCATCAATGTACATCTTCATGTATGCATACAGTTTTGAAAGTGAATAGACAGCTCTATAGTAGAGTAGTTGATTAATTTATTCAAATTGATCCCAAAAAAACTTTAAATCATCCATGAAGATTATTCCAACTGAGGAACAACATTATAAATCAGAATATGACTTGGTTGTTTGATTTTAAATTGGTCAAACTCTTACCAGTCACTTTACATTCAACACAGAGGTAGAAATATAGTAATTGTTACAACTGACAAGAGACTTTTTCTTTACGACTGTAAAATCCTATCATTTACTCATATTCATTTCAACAGTTTTACTGTCTTGTCTTGAGATGAATGAGGATTTCATTAATTTAGAAGTAGTATTCATCATGGAATGACATCAGTTGGGGGACCATTGAAAATCTGGGAGCACTGGACAGCTGTTTCGTCCAACTAGTATGGGACTGCTCAGCAGTACGCACCAACGACCCGCCTAGGGGTCGAACTCAGGACCTTCAGGTTCCACGGCGAACGCGTTAACCATATATATGATGTTTAAAGACTGTAATCCCTGAGGAAGATTTAACTGAAATAATGAGGGGTTGAAACAATAATAATGATTACAATGTTGATAGTTGATGACGTAAAGGTCGAATGGTAACAAAAAGGGGTTACGTAAGACTTTCAAATCGTTTATAAAGTGCGTATTGATTAAAAGCGGGGGGAGGGGTGAGAACGTTAATAAACAATCAAAAGTGATTAGGTAATGTGAATGAGACAACAGGTTGATTGGAGTAAATTAAAAATGTTTTGTTAAGAGTTGTGATAATTAGGAAGATCAAATGAAATAATAGCGGAAACAAATGAATACAAAAAACAGAGTGATAATGATGATATAAGAGTACAAAGATTAATCTGATACAAACAATGGGGGGAGGTGGTGAAAAACGAGAAGAAAAAGGATGAAGCCCACCAAGACTAAAATAAATTAAGGCCTAGGTAGAGACAAAGACTGTACGTACTTCTTTTGCACACAAAGGTCAGTCTTCAGTTCATGGATAGCCAAGAACTCTGTTGTTTTTAAAAGTTGAACAAGCAGGAGACGTGAAATGGTAGGGTGAATTCGATAGATCACCTTGAAATCCTTGTTTGGGTCGGCTAAATGGTTGGAATCGATTAAATGTTCACGGGTAGAACTTCTGATACATTTCCTTTGACCCATATAAAACCAGGCCGGAATATTGACTTAGTTTTACTGACAATATACTGAGCTACTGTGATTTCTGCTATCTCATGTTTTATTATTATCAATACTATTACTATTTATCCTTTAGGTTCCTTGTGGAACATAGGAACATAGGGGCTTCAGTAGCACATCACCATTTCATTCTCTTCTTTCCAGTCTTCTCAAGCTGGCTCCATGACTTCCCAAAAGCTTTCATTTCTTCTTCACACCATCTCCTCCATGTCAACTTCACCTCGTCGTTTCCCATTTGGCTTCCACTCAACGGTCTGGCCTTGCCTCATGCATGGTGTCCCCAATCAGTGTTCTCAGTCTGTGTCTTGGTTAGTTCGTTGACAGCCAGAGTTTCTTGTTGCTGATTCTTTCTCGCCATCTGGTTTTTAGTATCGAGTGTAGACGGCAGCTGTTGATGTATGTCTACAGTTTGTTGTAAATGCTTTTCATAATGCTCCAAGTCTCTCAACCATCACATGGAAGGACTGACTTGACTGAATTAGTGTGGAAAATCCGCATCTTGTTCACACTTTATGCTGAGGGCAGTGGAGCGGAGTGCAGTGCAGTAGATCTCCATAGATTAAGGCAGAAAGGCCTGTGTCACTATCTTCCGATCCTGGCTTTAACATCTGATCTGTGCCACCTGTAGTTGAGAGGTTGCTGCCTAGGTATGTGAGACACAACTTCCTTTATATTCCTCACGTTGATGGTGATTAGTGCTTGTGGTTGTTGGTTGGGTATCTTCATCACCTCTGTCTTCTGTACGTTCACCTGAAGGAAGTCCCGTCTTCTCTGCCTTGCCCTACCTGTTCTGATAATCTACACTTTCATCTGTACACGCCTAAAATCTAACTAATGAATCAGATTGTCATAAAATTTCAAGACAAATAACTCTGGTTCTTAAATTAGATATAATCTTAGTAAAATTAAAGCAAGTTTTTTCTTACATTGTGTGTATGTGTTTTTGGTCACGAAATCCAAACCTTTACCGAATATACTGATATACGTAATCAATAAATGTTGGTGTGAATTTCTCCCCAAGTAATTGGGAATCCTAACGAACAAGTGACCAGTCAACAATATAGACCAAACGCTTGAATAACATGTAAAATCCCAAACATAGATTTGTTTGAAATACCGTTCATTCTATATTAAAAATCAATATTTATTAATAAAATACAAACCTGGATTCTTCAGGTATCTACGGGTTGATTGCTATCAAAGCACTTTACAAAGAAGTACGTTAACAGTAATAAACGACAAAGCTGTGTGTTCAAGTTACCAGAAGGGGAATATAAAGGATGCGTGTAAGTTCTCACAATGAGGTAAAGACATAAGATAAAAAAATGTTCAAGGTAAAATATACCATTAGGGAACGAAAGAAATTACAACATCATCATGGACTGTGAAAGATAATAATATCCACGGATACTAAATGGTGAATAAGATACAACTGAACAGAATGAACATTCAAGGATGTAATTAAAGCAGCATTATCAGGAAACATGAGCTATATAGTAATGATGGACAGTAGCTAGCATTTCGTCCTATTTGGGGACTCGTCAGCCGGATGTGCCTGCGTCCTAATGAGTGATATTGTTCCACCGGGATTCGAGCTCGGCAGGAATCGCTTCAAATGACAGAGCGTTACTCACTAGACCATCAAGCCACGATAGCCACTTCTTGCTCGACGGGTATAGTTTTAGTGTTATTGTTTGTATTATACCGTCGTTGATTGAACCGAATTGATCGGCTTGCATCGGCATAAAGGCTTCTACGCGGATGCCTCGATATTGCCTGTATACGTCCAGCTGTGATGAGTCCTGAATAGGACGAAATGCTCACTCTGGATTCCACTGCTAGCCGGTATCAATCATCACTATATAAGTAAGAACACAGGCAATATCGAGGTATCCGTGATGGAGCCAATTTGCCAATGGAGACCGATAAATTCGGTCCAACCAACGACCACATGATACAATCAATAACACAAAATGATTATACTACTTAAAAATACTAAGTAGTATGAAACTGATGATATAAAAAGGGGCTACAAAGTAAACGTCACATAGGTAAACCAGAAACAGATGATAAAGGAATTCACAGTTGGAAAACATGAAACTCATGTTGTATGGAACTTCATATGCGCAGATGTTCAAAGTGAGGATAATTTTGTACTATTCAACAGATTTACGGCGAAAAAATCTATTCAGCCAAAGAAAGCTGTTAAACCGATCGAAAAATATGAAACAATTTTAATTGATATTTATGAAATTTTTAATCCTACCAAATTGAATCACACAGGTCACTACCATGATGCTGTCGAAACAGTATTGAAACAAAAGAGAAAGACGATAGGAAGTGGCCAAATATGGCAATCAACTTTATCAGACTTTGTGGTAGATCTAGAAAACTGACTAGTCAGTACAACGACCTAAACAAGGAACTAAAACACATGGAAGAATCACTCACAATTAATAATTATCCTCTACAGTTCATTAGGAAATTGGTACGAACACATGAGAAAGGAAATAATAAGGGTAAGATGAGTAGGAAGAATAACGACAACCATGCAGGATGGTGCACGCTTTCCGAACGTATCTGGGAGCACTATCCAGCATGGTTGTCTAGGGGAGAATGTAAATCAATTAACAGTTCAATTCATGAACATTTGGTCAACTCTGGATATAAAGCTAGACCAGAATCTTCTTTCAATGTCATTTATCGTATCAGATGGAATAGCTCAATAGGAGTACACCTTCGACAGTTGTGCACAGCGGAGGCACTGGCAATTCATCAGTTCAAGCCTGATCTCTGCGTGCGAAGGAAGTAAATACGTTCGCTGGTTGGAGGCAATCTGCAGGAAGCCCTGGACCTAGATTTCGTGCTTTTTAGCAGTCGTCAGCAAGGCGTATCTGCAACCTCGATGGAACTGATGTCCCTCCTGACACTAGAACCCGCGTCACCCAATGTTGTAGTCAGCGCCTTTCCCACTTAGCTAGAGCTGGGCTGGAGAACGTGAAATTGGTTGGACTCCGATGACCAATCAACATATGTAAGCCAGTCCTAAGGGAGGTCAGACGTGGCCCAAATAGCTCAGTGGTGAAGTCGCTGACTACAACACTGGGTGACGCGGGTTCGAATCTCAGGCGGGACATCAGTTCCGTCCAGGTTGCAGATACGCCTTGCTGACGAGTGCCAAAAAGCACGAAACCTAGGTCCAGGGCTTCCTGCCGATTACCTCCAACCAACTAACATCTACTAATGTGCACCGCGATGCTGAGCTTCCTATCTCGGATGCCACATTGCAAATATGATCGATGGGGTCCGGTCTGCAGTCAGGACTAGACAACATGAAGTTGGTTGCACTCCAGTGATTAATCATAATAACCATATAAGAGTACAAAGATTAAGCCTGACTAACAGAGCATGAAAAATGTGTTCGCATGATCAAGTATTGAAGGAGTTAGATTATATCCGTAATTCATTGGTTGAAATGGGCTATCCTAACACTTTCATAAAAAGATACATAGACATAGCCAGGGGGAACAAATCTGGTACTATTATCATACAAAAGAAACTTTTATTGATGAAATTGCAATTTAATGGGGATGTGGCCGGAAAAGGTTTATACCAGAGACTCTCTAGAGTCATTAAAAGGACCTTCCACGCCACACAACTTTGTCTATCATTTTCCAGTCGACCAATTATTACTGCTCAGAAAGAAGATAAGTTATCTAGTTTTGCCATTTCCATGTGTATTTACAAGTTTAGCTGCTCCTGTGGAGAAAGCTATGTAGGACGTACTACTAGACAACTTAACAAACGTGTTGCTGAGCATCTACCTTCATGGTTGGGAAAGGGACAGATAAAATCCATCAGAAGATCAGTTTTATCTCACCTCATTGATAGTGGTCACTCGGTAGATAAGAACATTACTTTCACGATTATACACCACATACCATCTCATCTCTTAAAAGGTATTCAACCTCGTCTTTTACGCATAACAGAAGCTGTGGGAATTTGAGCTAAT